TGGATGGATGGATGGATGGATGGATGGATGGATGGATGGATGGATGGGCAGACGGTTGGTTGGTTGGTTGGTTGGTTGATTGGTTGGTTGGTTGGTGTGCTCATTGGTTGGCTGATTGGCTGGTTAGCTGGTTAGCTGATTGGTTGGATGGTTGTGTAGTTGGTTAGTTAGCTGATTGGTTGGATGATTAGCTGGTTGGTTGGTTGTCTGGTTGGTTGATTACAGCTCAAACTGGCCTCAAACTCACAATGGTCCGCCTGTCTCAGCCTAAGTGCTGGCATTATTGGTATGCTCCTCCATAGACAACAAGTTTTCTGTCTGCTTGGGTCAGTGCCAGGATGGAATCCAGGATGGTACACATACTTACCAAGCCCTCCCCATTGATCTACAAGCCCAGCTAGAGATTCTTATTCTAAGAGCTCTAGTGTTCAGACTGGATATGGCCAGCTTTCATCTCACTGTTTTCCTGTCCTGTTTCTCCAGGTGGGGCCTGTCAGCCTCTTGGCCATCGGAGCACTCACAGTGCACTGTATGGATATCCTGCTGAACTGTGCCTGTCATCTCACTCAGAGGTCAGAGTCCACAGCTCACACCCCATGGGCCCCATCCCAGGGCCACTTCTCTGGGCTAGCACCCCTCCTCCGGGTTTTTCCAGAGGTGGCAAAGGGATTTTGGAAAGTGACTTAGAGTTTGAGAGAACACATAGGCTTATATGTTTGAACACTTGGTCCAGCCTGTGGCACTGTCTGAGAAGGCTGTGGAAAGTTAGGAGGTGGAGCTTGTGGGAAGAAGTGGGCCTTATACTTCCTGCCTACTCTGTTTTCTGGTTTGCTGGTGTGAGGAGCACCAGTTCCGCACTACTACCCCATAAACTCTACCACGGCTTTCTTATCAAAGTAGACTGTATCACCGCAGACTGAGACAGAATAAACTCTTTCTCCCTTAAATTGCTTGCTGCCAGGTGTTTGGTTACAGCAGAAATCAGGCAGGCCTGTAGGTCTGGGGTAGAAGCTTCCCTAGCGTGTATGAGCCTCTGGGTTCTGTTCCCATCATATTCAAAAGAAGCTAAGACGGTGTCTTGGTGTAGATCCAATTTTGCAGCTCGTGAATTAGAAACCATTCTGGCCCCACACCCCATTGAGCTCCACGCCCCTCACCCAGAGGCACCAAATGTAACCAAGTATGCAAAAGTGCCCTGTGGACTACTGAGCGTGTGTAGGATCCTCAGGCATCCTCTTGGTTTGATCAAGATTATGTTTTTTTTTAAATCTGTGTATATGTGTGCGCCTTCATGAGTTTATGTCTACCCTGGGCGTGCAGGAGCCCCTTGAAGCCTGAGGAAAGCATTTAGGTCCCCTGATAGTTGTGAGCCACCCTGTGGGTACTAGGTCCTCTACAAGAGCAGTAAGTGCTCTTAACCACTAAGCTATCTCTTCAGCCCCCCTTTTTTGAATCAGGGTCTCATGTAGCCCAGGCTTGCCTCTAACTCACTTATATAGCTGACTTTGAACTCCTGACCTTCCTGCCTCCACCTCTCGAGTTCTAGTAACAAAGTCATGTGACTCCATGCCCTTTTAATGCAGTGCTGGGGATCAAACCCAGGGCCTCGTGTATGCTAGGCAAGCACTCTACCAAATGAGCTACAGTCCCATGCCCTTCTTTTTCTTTTCCTCTCCCTACTCCAACACAGGTACTTTGTCAAGGCCACTTGTTCCCCAAAAAAACAAAAACCAAAAAAAAAAACCTTTTCGAGGGAAGTTAATACAGATGAAAAAGACAGCAATGATATGAGCAGTTTGTGGTTGCTTCCGTCATTGAATGCACATCTGGGGGCTGGAGCGATGGCTCAGCAGTTGGGAGAGTGTCCTGCTCTTCAAAAGGACCCAAGTTCAGTTCCGCATTAGATAGCACACAACTGCCTGTAACTCCAATTTCAGGGGATCCAATGCTCTCGCCTGGCTTCCTTTGGCACCTAAACTCACATGCACATACGTGCACACAGACACAGGTTATACATCCGCAATCTTAATATCAAAACCACTGAGAGCTGGAGAGGTGTCTCAGTGCTTTCTTTCTCAGAAGGAAAAAATGAGTACACTGAAAGTACAGACTACTGAGCTCCTCAGGATCCAGCAATCCCCATTACACTCAGGTCCAAGGCTGCCCTTAGAGGTAGGCAACTGTCTTATACAGAAGTCAAGGCAAGGTAACCCAAGACTGAGGCAGGAGCATTGCCAGTTCCAGGCCAGCCTGGGCTATATCCTGAGCATTTTTGAAGCAAAGATATAAAGTAAAGGTTTTCATGGACTGGGGATATCACTCAGTGGTAGAGCATTTGCCTGGCATGCGAGCTCAGCATCCAGGACTCAGCAAAAACCAAATAAAAAGCCAAAAAGTGGATGTGCCTGGTGCTGGTCAGAGAGCCCTTTCACCTCATAAAACCCGTCACACAGCAGGGTTTTGCTCATACAGCAGTGATGTAAATGGTGCAATTCTGTTGAGCCAAGGGCTTTGCAAGATTTCTGTACTCCTTCCAGGAATGCCCTGGGATAGAGACTTTTTATTCCCATTTTACAGATGAATACTTAGCCCTGAGTCACATACATGGGAAATGGCAGAGCTGCTCTTTGATGACCTGTCTGACTTTATTTTTTTTAATTAGTTCTTTTAAAAGTTCATACAAAATAATTTGTGTAAAATGTAATATTCTCCCTCCTTCCCCAAATCCTTCCAGATCTACTCTCTTTCCCACCCTCTCAACTCTGTGCCACCCTCTTTTCCTTTTCTTTCTTTTCTCCCTTCCTCCCTTCCTTCCTTCCATTATCAAACCATTCTCACCCTCCAGTGCCTCTCTGAATGTCCTCTTCCTGAGCCCCAGGTCCTCACACCTCCTGCAAGCACCAACCTGCCCATAATTGCATCAGTGAATCTTTTTCCTCTGACTGAAGACTCTTTCATTTTTCTCTGACATAAACATTTAAGGACAATAGTCTTTTATCCAACCTGGCACTTCTTCCATTTTTGTTTTGGTAACTTCCCAAAAACTGTCTTTAACTCTTTATGTGGTCCAGAATGGACTTGATCTCTGGATCTCCTGCATCTACCTCCAGAGTCCTGGGATGACAGGCACACTGGTGGTTTAGAAGGCTCCATACAAGTCCTAAAGCCCTCCTCTCTGTGCCCCAGCCCTGGAGTTAGCACTGTGCATGTGGCATCTGGCCAGCAGCTGCTCCTCCCTGTTCCCACCCAGAACCAGAAGGGTCCTACTACAGAGCCATCCACTTCCCTTAGACAAGAAGAGATTGCTTTCACCCTTTCCAGGGCTCCCAAATCTCAGTGTAAACCAAGACAGTTCCTGGCTGGCCATGCCCACTCTGCCTCTTCCTCCACCTCCTCTCCTGCTTTGCTTATTTAAGCCAAAGCAGAGATACTGCTTATTCCAAAGGACAAAACCAAGGAAACTACCTAAATATTGTGTTTAAAGCATGCTGCCGGGTGCATGCCTGCCTGTAGGGAGGTCGGGGCATTTCCAGCTGCACAAGTTCCAGGACATCCTGGGCTACCCTCAAAACAACAACAAGCAAAACTGCATAAAATTGTATAAACAAACAAGTAAACTCGTGAAAGTTGCATAAGTGGTGCAGTTATTAGAGAGTTCACAGAACATTCTTCACTAACACACAAATACACAACAGTCTCCAGCTTAGGTGCATACTGTACCTTCAGCAAAATGTTTTAACTTAAGCATCATTTGTCCTTTCACCCTAGACTGCAGAGGAGTTTTGTGAACTATGAAGAGACCACAATGTACAGCCTGGAAACATGCCCAAGTCCTTGGCTGAGGACACACTCAGTGTGGGGCAGGTACTGGTCACACGTGTAATACTCATTGTGATGAAACATGATAGACCCCCCCACCTGCCCTGCCTTTATGTCTGCTTGTGTAAACGTTTTTGCTGTTTTTATAGTTTATTGGTTATTTATTTACATTTCAAATGTTATCCCCCTTCCTGGTTTCCCCTCCACAAACCCCCTATCCCAGCCCCGCCCTTGCTTCTATGAGGGAGCTCCTCCACAAACCCAGTCACTCCGCTTCACCTCCCTAGCATTCTCCTACGTTGGGGTATCAAGTCTCCACAGGACCAAGGGCCTCCCCTCGCATTGATGCCAGATTAAGGCAATCCTCTGCTACATCTGTAGTTGGAGCCATGGATCTCTCCATGTGTACTCTTTGGTTGGTGGTTTAGTCCCTGGGAGCTCTGGGGGGTCTGGTTGGTTGATATTGTTGTTCTTCCTATGGGGTTGCAAACCCCTTCAGCTTCTTTTTTAAAGATTTTATTTCATATTTAATGATATCAATCTGTATGTCTATATGTATGTGCATATGAATGCAATTTCCCCTAGGAGGCCAGAAAAGAGCATCAGATTCACTGGAGCTGGAGTTACAGGTCGTTGTATGTCCCCTGATGTAGGTGCTGGGAACTAAACCTGGGTCCTCTGCAGGAGCATAATATGCTCTTAAGCACTGAGCCATCTCTCCAGCCCATGCTTGCACAGGTTTTTTAAGCAGATAGACTATTTTTGGCAACTATCAAGCAAGATAGAGTATCTCCCCAGTGCCCCAGCCCCACCTCCTTCTTCACCTTAGTACACCGTAACATACGTGAGTGGGAAAGGGCATGTGTTAATTGTTTTGTTTTGTTTTGTTTTGTTTTTTGAAATAAAAGAAAGACAAGAACTTATATATCCAGGGTGACCTTGAACTTTGAACTACCTAAGACGCTAAGGATAGTGTTGAACTTCCCGTATACGCTGGGTTAATGCACCAATTGAAGCTTCATAAACTAGATTAGAACTAGAACTAGACTAGAACTCTCCCAGCTGAGCTCCAGCTTGAGCCCTAGTTCATCTCATGGTTTCTTGTATGTTACTTAGAATTAGATGTGTAAACTTGAAATTCATTTTGCTTACTGCCTTGCTTATTTGTTTGTTTGAGACAGCATTTCCTGTGTACCAGGCTGGCTTCAAACAAGTCCTGTAGCCCCAAGATAACCCTAAACTCCTGACTCTCCTCCTTCTTCCCAAGTACCGGGCATGCACCTCCACAATTAACTTGAAATTAGAATTTTTTTTAATCTAACAGTGTATCAGTCACATGTCCTGTTGCTGCAACAGAGTATCTAGGAAAGCAGCTTGATGAAGAAAGGGTTTATTCCAGCTCATTGTTCTAGGGCATTAGAGTCTGTAGTAGTACCAGGAGAGGCATGGCAACTGGGACAAGAGGCAGCTGGTTACATTGTGTCCGCAATCAGGAAGCAGAGAAAGATGGATGCTGGCACTCATCTTACTCAGGCTCCAGCACAAAGAATGGTCCACATCCACCGTGGGTCTTCCCACCTCAATCAACCTAGTCTATTTTCTTTTCCTTTTTGGTCTTTGGAGACAGAATCTCTCTACGTAGCTCTCTAAGTAGCCCTCACTGTTCTAAAACTCACTATGTAAACCAGGCTGGCCTTGAACTTGAAAAGAGATCCACCTGCCTCTGCCTTCTGAGTGCTGAGATTAAAGACTTGTGCCACCATGCCTGGCCGGTCAACTTATTCTAGAATGTCTCTCACAGACATGCCCAAAATTTGTTTTCCTTGTGATTCTATCTTATCAATTTAACAGCAGAAATCAATCATTACAGACAATATTCCTCTTCTTTTTTTCCATCTTGGAACACACTCATCATTTGAAGGTTCACAGTGTTCTCTGGCAGAGATGTTTACCTTGTTTTAGTTGACTAGTCCCTTCGGGATGGACATTAAGTTTACTCCCTTTGCTGTGGGACAAAAACCCGGAGACCACTCAGCACAACCAAAGTTCAAATCAAGAGTCTGTATTAAACCTGCTGGCGACTGCCTAGAGAGAGACACTTCTCACAGAGTATCCCTGGATGTATACTACATGGAGACACGGTTGCAGGGGGAAGCAAGCAAGCGTTTAACAAGAAGCAAGAACATGCAGTTAGCTGGGGTATTTTAACCCTGAGTTTCTAGAACAAGGTTGGGTGCTTACCTATGGAATTTTCCAGGACAGTGTATAGAAACCAAAGATGGCTTCAGCTGAATCAAGATGGAGAAACCTTTGCCCCATCACACCTTGTTTGGGTCTTCAGGGAGAGATTTCACTGCCCTAGAAAAATGGGGTAACCAGAGCTCTCGCAATAATACCTAAAAGGTACAGAAGTTAATGGTGAGTCAGTCCTGGTAGCACAGGACTACCCTGCCACTGTCCTAGATAGCTTTAATAGTCAATTTGACACAGGATAGAGTCAACTGAGAAGAAAGCCTACACTGAGGAGTTGTTCAGATCAGATTGGCTTTTGGGTAATTGTTTTGACTGTTAATTGATGTAGTAGGGCCCAGCCTACAATACCATTCTCTGGGTCTATATAAGAAAACTAGTTCACGGCTGGGCGGTGGTGGCGCACCCCTGTAATCCCAGCACTTGGGAGGCAGAGGCAGGCGGATTTCTGAGTTTGAGGCCAGCCTGGTCTACAGAGTGAGTTCCAGGACAGTCAGGACTACACAGAGAAACCCTGTCTCGAAAAAAACAAACAAACAACAACAACAAAAAAAAAACAAAAACAAAGAAAACTAGTTCATTGTGAGCTTGTGAGCAAGCCATTAAGAAGCATTCTTCCATGAGTTCTGCTTCGGGTTCTTACCTTGTGCTCCAGTCCTGACTTTCCTCAGCAAAGGGCTGTGAGAGCTGGGGGCATAAGACTGCATTAATCCCTTCTTCTCCTATGCTGCTTTTGAGCAGAGTGTTATGTCACAGCAACAGAGGAAGCTAGGACAGCCCAGAAGGCTGTCAGGGATACACAGAGCTCAAAGCCTGCCTGAATTCAAGACACAGCAATGTAGGGAGACCCCTGTGCCAGGATTTTAAAAGACCTAGGCACAACTGGAAGCCCTGAGTTAGATCCTCAACACCACACACATGAGAGCGTGTGTGCGAGCACACACACACACACACATACACACATAAGCTGATGGTGTTCAAAATGCTTTTCTGTTTAAGCATCTCTTATCATCTTACCAATCTTGAATAGGACTCTAGGGTGAGATTTCACTGTCCTAGAAAGATGGGGCAACCTGAGCTCTCACAATAAAATAACACATGAAATATACAAAAGACCTCGATAATGGTGGAACAAAGACATCCCAAGACCTTCCACACAACCTTCTCAGACAGTTCTTCAGGCAGTGAGTCAACACCTCAGTCAACTGCGGCTGCAGCACCCTCCACACTGCCTACCTCAGGCTCCTCAGTCGGCACTTATCTCTCAACATCAGCCAGATGAGGTCAGGATCCGTGTCTGATGATGTCCTCAGTAGATAATGTAGGGCAGTAGTAGCCCCTGACGTCACTGGATCCAAGTCTATTGAGATGGACAATCATACAGCTCAGGAAAGACAACCAAGTCGCTCAAAGCCACACAGGAATTTGTCACAGCTAAGACTAGAACTCTGGAAGCCTACTTTCCACCTACCAGGATTCTGTTCTTCCCATTTTTTTGGAGATCAGTAACTGAGGAAATTTAGAACTACTCGGGGGAGGGAGTCTCACTTCAACCAGAGATTTTTCTTTTTCTGTGCACTAAGAGGAGCTCAGAGGCTTGAGTAAGAACTGGTTCCCCACATAGATAACACTCACTGATGCTTGGTCTTTAGATGGAAAAACAGTGCTGAACTTTTTAAAGAAGAGAGCCCTGGTGACCCTGCCCAGGGCATCAAGCTGAGCACCTAGCAGCCTATGTCAGTTGTCTTGTGATAGAACAGAGGACATAAAGAGCCGTTCTGAAATTCTCTTACCAGAAAAATCAGTGAAGAAACGTCATCTAATCAAACTTTTTGACCTGAGATAGGCTCACAAGAAACACTCAGGGATGGGAGAGCAAGATAAATGATGTACAATAAAGTCAGCCCGTCTAGAAAGCAGGGCACGATGCGTGGACAGGTGGTCTGCCGACTCATTACCACCAAAAAGTAAAAAGGTTTCAAGGAAAATAGAGCTGGGACGTAGCTCAAACGTAGAGTTCCTGCCTAGCACTCATGAAGTCCTGAGTTCAATCCCCAGAACCAGAAAACAAACACCAAACAAAAACCCACAGCAGGAAGAATGTGGTAATTTTTCAAATTTAAGAACTGTAATTGAGTGCAATACATAGGCTTGCCTGGATCCAGCTCTACAGTGGGGGTGGGAGGAGACACATAAATAAAGAGAGATTCTAAGGCACAGGACAACAGACCATTGGATTGACAGAGGAACAGAGTGTCCTTGCCTTTGTCATCTGCCCAACGACTCTCATCTGGAGGAAGTAGTCATACAAACACACCATGGTGACAGTTTATAAGAAGGCCAACCTGAATTCTCCAAAATGACCTGATGTAAAGCTGGTGCAAATGCATGCAAAAATATTCCACATGGAAAAATAAAAGACAAAAGAGGTACAGCCAAACACAACATACAGTTTTGGAAAATTTTTAACAAAAAATAAAAGTTAAGGCCAGGCAGTGGTGGCGCACGCCTTTAATCCCAGCACTTGGGAGGCAGAGGCAGGTGGATTTCTGCGTTTGAGGCCAGCCTAGTCTACAGAGTGAGTTCCAGGACAGTCAGGCTTACAGAGAGAAACCCTGTCTCAAAAAAACAAAAAAAGAAAGAAAGAAAGAAAGAAAGAAAGAAAGAAAGAAAGAAAGAAAGAAGAAAAGGTTAAGTCAGATACAGTGGCAAACCTGCAATCCCAGCACTTGGGAGGTAGAGGCAGGAGAATCAGGAATTCAGGGTCAGCCTGAGCTATATATGAAGTTTAAAGCTAGCCTTGGCTACTTGAGACTATGTCCTTCTCCCTCCCAATAAAAATATATTTATAAGATAATTAAGATATATAAATTATATATTTGATGTTAGTTGATTTCTGTCTGTTAAGGATTAAGAGAAATCTGTCCAAGGCATTTCAGGTAGATGTTTCATGACTTCTGAAATTATCATTGAAATGGTTCTGAGTGCTGTGTGTGTGTGTGTGTGTGTGTTGTGAATTTAATATCCAGAATGTAATTCAGGGCCAAAGGTAACTATGAATGAGTTTCATTAGAGTGAATAGATGATAGATGTGGGTGGTTTGTCAGAGGCAAGGAAAATCAGGTTTTCAAGGTCACACTTGGTTATCTAGCTAATCAGAGGCCAGCCTGGGCAACTCGAGGCTCTATCTCAAAAAAACAAACTAACTCTCTAAAGCCAGAATTTATAGCTGTTAATTTCTACTGTACTATCAACTTTTTCTGAGGGGCTGACATTTCTCAAAATAAAACCATCAGAACTAATTGTTTTGAAAAGGAAACCCAGCCAGGTAGTGGTGGCGCACGCCTTTAATCTCAGCACTTGGGAGGCACTTGGGAGTTCGAGGCCAGCCTGGTCTACAGAGTGAGTTCCAGGACAGTCAGGGCTACACAGAGAAACTCTATCTTGAAAAAAAAAAATAATAAGGCAAAAAAAAAAAGGAAACCCATCCTAAACAATAACTTACTTCCCTTGTCCTCCTCTTCCTTCCCAGGTACGTTGTAAGCTTCCTGCTGATTGTCACTCAGCTGGGCTTCTGCAGTGTGTATTTCATGTTTATGGCAGACAATTTGCAACAGGTAAAGAGGGCTCTTCCGGGTAGACCTCCCGATGCTGGGGCTGTTAGTGGCAGCATAGCAATGGAGCCTGTCTCCCCATATTAGACCACAGTTGGGACCAGAGCAAAGCCAAAGCCCCTAACTTTCAGGCTGGAAAGCATCTCAGGTTGTCCAAGATGTCTAATGTGCTGTCACCTTCCCCTTACCTCATTCCTAATGTAATGACAAGTCAGGCAGAGCCTTCTTTTATGAGTTTGTGAGACAGGAAACACCCAGTCAGCCAGGAAGAACGGTGAGTCTTGTAACAGAGGGACTGTAAGCAGAAGATGCTCAATTCTCAGCCCCTCCCTGCTTCACTCACAAAGTCTAAAAAGGATGTGCTTATGTAACAGAAACCCTTTTCTAGTCATGTGAGCAGGGAAACCACCACTTCCCAGGGAAGATGAGATTGTCTATCCGACAAAAGAAGCATTGTGCCTTTGGGGTTTATGATGCTCAATGTTAACCATCATCAGAATCACACCCACTATAGTTAAGGCGGCTAGGTTTGCCCAATAAAACGCAGGACACCCAAAACCAGACACTGAGGTTCACATCGATAACACCAAAATTTGGAAGGTAGAAGCAGAAGGATCAAAAGTTCATGGTCATTCTCAGCTACATAGCAAGTCTGAGGGATACATGAGACCCTGTCTCAAAAAGTATAGGAGAAAGGGATGGCTCATTCAGTAAAGTGCTTGTCTTGCAGCCCAAGGGCCTGGGTACCATTTCCCAGGACCCACATATTAAAAAAGCTAGCTAGAAAAATAGCCCAGTGGTTAAGAGCACTGAGTCCTCTTCCAGGGGTCCTGAGTTCAATCCCACCAACCACATGGCGGCTCACAACCATCTGTAATGGGATCTGATGCCCTCTTCTGGTGTGTCTGAAGACAGGTACAGTGTACTCATATACGTAAAATAAATAAATCTTTAAAAAGAAAAAAAAAAGGCTGGACTTTATGGCCTGCAGCTGTTATTTCAGTGTTGAGGAAGCAGAGCCAGATGGGTACCTGCTGCTCATTGGAGGGCCAGCCTAGCCTAACTTGCCCAGTACCAGACTAATGAGACCCTTTCTCAAAAAACAAGGAGGGCCACACCTAAGGCACATTACTGATTTTGTCCTCTGGAGCCCCCAGCACCACCAGGAACACACATGTATGAGCGCACAGACACACAGAAGACACACATCGATGGGGCTGGAGAGATGGCTCAGCAGTTAAGAGCACTCGTTGCTCTTTCAGAGGATCTGGGCCTGGGTTCAGCTCCTAGCACCCACATGGTAGCTCACAGCCATCTGTAACTCCAGCTCCAGGAGATCTAACTTCCTTTTTGACCTCTCCCAGCACCAGGCATGTACATGATGTACAGACAAAACATTTCATACAAATAAAATTAAATAAATCTAAAAATGTTTTAGAGATTTATTTATGCATATGAATGTTTTGCCATGAAAGTCAGAAGAAGATATTGGTACTCCTGGAATTGTGAGTCACTGTGTGGGTACTGGGAATTAAACTCATATCCTCTGTAAGGGCAACCAGTGATTTTTTAATCACTGATCCATCCCTCTTGCACCTGAAAAAGACATCTGGCTATACTGAAATGTCACACAAGTCATAAATAATGTCTTTTCTGCTGTGGCAGTAAGTTATCAGTTGATGAGCTGAAATCCTAATTGAAATGAGTCTCAGTGATTTACGACTGACGTCCTGCCTTTCACTGTGTCATCCTGGCAGATCGTGGAAGAATCTCACTTCACCTCCAATGTCTGCCAGCCCAGGCAGAACCTGGTGATGACCTCCATCCTGGACTCTCGCTTCTATATGCTCACCATCCTGCCCTTCCTCATCCTGCTGGTGCTCGTCCAGAACCCAAACGTGTTGTCCATCTTCTCTACCTTGGCCACCATCACCACCCTGAGCAGCCTGGCTCTAATCTTTGAGTATCTCATCGAGGTCTGAAACCATTCAGAAGGGGGTCTGGGTCCAGGGTTTCTGAGGCATGGCAGGTGGGAAGGTGAAGATGAGGAAGGTGGCCGGTGCCCAGCTCTGAGCCTAGGGGATTTCTAGAAACACTTCTGTCCCAAAAGCTGGGCATCATTATCATCAACGCACTCATCTTCAGCATTATGGTCTTATCCATAACAGTGACTCACTGGGAATTTAGTTGCTGAATGCTTTCTGTGGTCCAGTATTGGGCAAGAAGCTGGGGATTTTGTGACTCAATAATAAGAGATAAAGAAGGATGTCACATTCTCCATCAGCTCAGCAAACAACAAGAAGTACCACAGCAGGGAGATGGGGAGAGGGCTCAGTGGGTAAAGTGCTCGCTGCCTTAGCGTGAGGACCTGAATTCCCATCCCCAGTATCCACATGACAGCCTAGCACAATGGAGCACACATGTAATTCCAGAACTGAGAGAGTGGAAGGTAGGTGGAGGTTCACTGGCCAGACAGTCTAGCTGAAATGGCAAAGCCCAGGTTCAAAGAGAAAGTCAAAAACATAGGGTGGAGAACTACACAGGAGAAATCAGATACTGACCTCTGGCCTCCACATGCACTGGCACAGGTTCACACACACACACACACACACACACACACACACAGCACAGCACAGCACATAGAGATACAGCACTGGTCAGGAAGTATGTAGCCGCTGGCTAGATGGCTCACATGCTTGCCTCCAAGCCTGAGGCCCTGAGTTCCATACCTAGCCCTCACAGAGAGGTAGGAGAGGACTGACTCCCACAAGTTACCTTTTGATCTCCACATGCACACCATGGCACACAAGCCCACCCTGCCCCTCCGCAATAGAATAAATGTATCTAAAAACCTTTAAAGAGAATACAGACAGTGAAGGAATTTGATCTACTTGGTATAAGGATGTTACATGATTTCCTGGATCCTTGAAAATAAAAATATCCCAGTTTCCAGAAAAAGACACCAAGGAGCAGGAGCAGCAGGCAAGCAGAGCTTTCTGATTGGGCCAACTGGTTTACCTCCCATCACAGGCACTAACATTCCACCATTGTTGTTTTGTTTCTTTGATCATGAAAGTCTTTGGAATTATATTAGTATCCTGTTGCTGCTATAACAACCACAGATCTAGAAGTTGGGGGGAGGGGTGTTTGTTTGTTGTAAACAGTCTCATGTAGCCCAGGTTGGCTTTGTAGCTAAGGATGGCCTTGAGTTTTCGATCCTCCTATCTCTACTTCCCAAGTGCTAGACTTATAGACATGTACCATGACACCCAACTTAGGCTGTGCTGGAGATTGAACAGGGCTTTGTGCCTGTTAGGCAGGTACTCTACCAACTGAGGTATAAGCCAAGGTATTTTTTTCATTGTTTTTGCTTTGCTTTTGATTTTCTTTGGTTTCAAGGTATTTTTCTTAAAACAGAGTTTCATAAAGCCCAAGCTGGCTTCAAACTCTTTAAGTACTAGAGGATAATCTTGAACTTCTGATCTTCCTACTTTACAGGCATGTGCCACCATATTTGGATTTATGCAGAGCTGAGGATCAAACTCAATTCTTCATGCATGCTAGGCAAGCACTCTACCGACTAAACTACAGCCCCAGCCTTAAAATGATAAAGACTTCTTCTATGATGCTAGAGATTTCACTGAGCCAGCTAATCAGGGATCAGCAGGGCTGTATCTTTGCCAGAGGTTCTAAGAAAGAGCCTGCTTTCTCACCTTTTCCAGCATGCCTTGGTCTGTGGCCATTCTGTGGTTAAAGCCAGTATCATTAGGGTCAATCTTCCTATGCTATGGTCTTGTGTCCTCTTCCATTCCTCTCTTCCTCTTTTAAGGACCCTTACCTGATGCAGATAATCCAGGTTAATCTTCTTGTGTAAGGTCATCAGTTTAGCATCTTAAATTCCTTTTGAAAACTAAGTTCTCTAGCAAAGAATGGTGGCATGCACCCATAAACTTAGCACTTGGGAAGTTAAGACAGAAAGATAGCTTGGTCTACATAGCAAAAACGTAACTCAAAAACAAAACATAATCTGACTAGTTTTGGGACCACATACCTTTAACCTCAGTTATTGGAAAGTAAAGTCAAGCCAATCTCTGTGAGTTTGAGGCTAGCCTGGTCTACTCAGTGAGTTCTGGGCCAGCCAGGGCCATATACAGAGACATGTCAACCAACTAACCAATCAATCAGTCAATAGCAGGGCAGCCTGGGTTACATAGAGAGACTATCTCAACAAATAGATTTATTTAAGTAGCATAATCTGCTCACTGGGATTAGGACATCTTTGAGAAACCTTTATCCTACCGACCACAGAAATCTAGTATTAATCACTCTTACTTGGCTATAAGCAAGTTTGAGGCTAGCTTGAGCTACCAGATACAATGACTCAAATAAATAATCACTTCCTGTGTCTTTGATGGCTACTGTACCGACTGCACAGCCCAGGAGGGAATGATGGGAAAGAGGTGTTAAAGGACAGGGACAGGGGACAAGCACCCTTACCTGGCCCGTGCAGTAGCTTGCAGATTAATTTTGGGCAACTTCCTTCTTCCACTGTTCTGTCTGCTCCATATTTAAGATGAGAAGACTTCCCATGGCCTCCAGGTAGAAGCTACCAAATGTGCTGGCCAATAAATAGACAAACAAACCAGAAAGAGAAGTGGGAGAAAGAATAGAATATTACTTAGCATTAAAGAAAATGAGAGCCGGGCAGTGGTGGCGCACGCCTTTAATCCCAGCACTTGGGAGGCAGAGGCAGGCAGATTTCTGAGTTAAGACAGAAAGATAGCTTGGTCTACATAGCAAAAACGTAACTCAAAAACAAAACATAATCTGACTAGTTTTGGGACCACATACCTTTAACCTCAGTTATTGGAAAGTAAAGTCAAGCCAATCTCTGTCTACAGAGTGAGTTCCAGGACAGCCCGGGCTATACAGAGAAACCCTGTCTCGAAAAACCAAAAAAAA